CGCGAAAACGAGACTACCCGCAACAATGACGTTGTTGTTGCAGTGATTCAGGGCGTGCCGGTTGATGTATTAATTGACAGCGGCTCAACGATATCGCTTATATCGTCAAATTTATTGAGACATTTTAGTTGCGCGCTTAAGCCGGCATTTCGAATATTAAAGGGACTTGGTAGTCAAGAAATCGAAAGTACCTCTTACGTGACTTTGCCAATCGAATTTGACGGTATAACTCTTGAAGTTGACATGTTCGTAGTTGCGTCTGAGTACATGAACACGCCGGTTATAGTTGGTACAGACGTGCTCAATAGAGAGGGCGTTCGTTATATTCGCACGCGCGACCGCCAACTCCTTACGAGAGAAACTATCGAGCCAGATAGGGTAATGACTATTCAGTCTGATGTTTCTGTTCCTGTGAACACACCTCTTGTTGAAAATGAATTGCAACAGTTGTTGGCAATAATAGATGAGTTTTCTCAATTTTTAATATCCGGTACAGCTACTTCTACCGTGAACACTGGTAGCATGGCCATCAGACTGAAGAGTGACACCCCAGTTAACTATAGGCCGTATCGCCTTTCCCACGCGGAAACACTTCGTGTTCGGGAGATTGTCAAGGACTTATCGGCAAAAGGGATCATTCAGGAGTCGGAATCTGATTATGCCAGCCCGATTCTTCTTGTCAAAAAGAAGGACGGCTCCGATCGAATGTGCGTCGATTTTCGGAAGTTGAATGACGTGACCGTGAAGGACCGTTTTCCATTGCCGAGAATCGATGACCATATAGACCGGCTAGGACGAAACAAATATTTTACGAGCTTAGACATGGCGACGGGGTTTCATCAGATTCCTATGGATGAGGAGTCCGTTCCTCTAACTGGCTTCGTAACGCCCGAGGGGCATTACGAATATTTGAAAATGCCGTATGGTCTCGCAAATGCCCCGGTCGTCTATCAGCGAATTATCGCCAAAACGCTCCGGGAACATATAGAATCTGGTGAAATCCTCGTCTACATTGATGATGTTCTGATCCTAAGTCAGACAGTAGATCAGGGGTTAGTTATTTTGCGCAAAGTACTTAAAACTTTGACTGATGCGGGTTTTTCTATCAACCTTAAGAAATGCTCCTTCCTCTCACCCACGATTGAGTATTTAGGCCGTAGTATCAGTGAAGGTCAGGTGCGGCCGAGCGTTGACAAAGTTAGGGCTTTAACGGAAGCCGACGAGCCGAAAAACGTGAAACAAGTCCGTCAGTTTATGGGCTTAGCCAGCTATTTTAGGAGGTATATACCCGGTTTCGCTCAAAAGACGGCTTGTATAGCGGCTCTGACGCGTAAGGACGTAGCATTCAATTGGGGCCCTGAGCAGCAGGCTGCCCGCAAAGAGATCATCGAGTGTCTGACNCCGTTCCTTTAACTGGCTTCGTAACGCCCGAAGGGCATTACGAATATTTGAAAATGCCGTATGGTCTCGCAAATGCCCCGGTCGTCTATCAGCGAATTATCGCCAAAACGCTCCGGGAACATATAGAATCTGGTGAAATCCTCGTCTACATTGATGATGTTCTGATCCTAAGTCAGACAGTAGATCAGGGGTTAGTTATTTTGCGCAAAGTACTTAAAACTTTGACTGATGCGGGTTTTTCTATCAACCTTAAGAAATGCTCCTTCCTCTCACCCACGATTGAGTATATTAATTGACAGCGGCTCAACGAACGAAGTATTTAGGCCGTAGTATCAGTGAAGGTCAGGTGCGGCCGAGCGTTGACAAAGTTAGGGCTTTGACGGAAGCCGACGAGCCGAAAAACGTGAAACAAGTCCGTCAGTTTATGGGCTTAGCCAGCTATTTTAGGAGGTATATACCCGGTTTCGCTCAAAAGACGGCTTGTATAGCGGCTCTGACGCGTAAGGACGTAGCATTCAATTGGGGCCCTGAGCAGCAGGCTGCCCGCAAAGAGATCATCGAGTGTCTGACTAGTGAGCCCGTACTTGCGATTTACGACCCTTCGTTACCGATTGAGGTGCATACCGATGCAAGTTCCATCGGCTACGGGGCCGTTCTTCTGCAGGTGCACGAGGGTGGTCACAAGCGAGTGGTTGCTTACTATAGTAAGCTAGCGCAGGGAGCTGAAAGTAAGTACCACTCGTATGAGCTGGAGACTCTTGCGGTGGTCAAAGCCTTACAACACTTCAGGCATTATCTTGTGGGTGTGCACTTCACCGTAGTCACCGATTGTAACGCATTAAAACTTACCAAGCGGAAAAAGGATTTGCTCCCGCGGGTGGCTCGGTGGTGGGTGTACCTGCAGGATTTTGACTTCGATTTGGACTATCGGAAGGGTTCACTAATGTCGCACGCCGATTATCTCAGTCGGAACCCGGTCAATGTGTGTACGGTTCAGAAGCCACTGAACTGGGCGCAGATTGCTCAGGCTTCCGACGAGGAAACCCGAACTCTCATCCAGCAACTACATGATGGTCAGTTGGATGCGAGTAGATATGTCGTTAAAAATGACATTCTCTATGTTAGACATACACCTACTGGTGAACCTTCCCGACTTCTGTGCTATATCCCTAAAGGGCACAGACTTAGCCTATTGCGCGTGTTTCACGATGAACACGAACATCCCGGAGTTGAAAAGACGGTTGACCTTGTTACTAAACATTTCTGGTTTCCCGGGTTGCGTAGTTTTGCCCAAAAATATATCGCGCACTGTTTGGTGTGTATTTCGCATAAAAAAGTCCCACGGGCTCCATTACAGCCCATTACCTCTTGGGAAAAACCAGACGTACCTTTCGAGACTGTCCATATGGATGCTCTAGGACCGCTCCCCGAAGTAGATGGTTACCGATACGTTCTCATAGTGATTGACGCTTTTTCCAAGTACACCCTGTTGTACCCAATGTATCGACAAGACTCTAACGAATTAAAGCGTCATGTTACGAACGCCATTTCATTATTCGGGTCTCCCAAATTGATTGTTGCGGATAGAGGTCGCATGTTCCAAAGTACTGAATTTCTGGATTGGGTCAAGGATATGGGGTGTGAGGTACATCTAATCACACCCGAAATGCACCAGTCCAATGGGCAGGTCGAACGCTACTGCCGGACAGTATTGAACATGATTCGCATCGAAGCAAATCATAGACAGCAACGGTGGCCAAATGTTATTTGGAAGCTGCAGTTGGTCCTGAATATCACTCGACATAGGACGACTCAATATTCTGCGCTCAATCTTCTGGTGGGCATTGATGCGGCAACACCTCTTCTCCGAAGCCTAGTGCGTGATGTGGCACTCGACGGGTCCAGCCCGAACAGGGAGGCTCTGCGCGAGATGAGTCGGCAGAGGGCGTCGGAGCGTCTCAGGCGAAACCAGCAGACTCAAGACGCCTATGTAAACCAAGGCAGAAAGGCGCCTCGAGGTTTTGAACTAAATTCTTTGGTTTTTGTTAAGAAGCAAGCTCAATCAACGGGGAAGTTGGACTCCGGCATGCGCGGCCCGTATCGCGTGGTGAAGGTTCTCCCGCACGGGCGCTACGAGCTGCAACTCCTGGCCGGCTCCTATGGGAAGTCGACGCAGGCAGCAGCGGAGTACATGGTCGCATGGCGCGGAGAATGGACTCCTGATGTGTGTGCTGCTTACTTTGATGGTAAGATGCCTGGCTATCTAAGAGTGGTTTGTGAACTATTCTTTGGATAGACTCCAGTAATAGCTAACGTAGTGCTTCCTTACTGGATTGTGCAATTGTTGGGGAACGCTAACGTCGTGCCTCTTTCCTAACAATTGGGGGCGGACATGCTAACGTCGTGCCTCTGTCTCGCCGGGCTAAGTTACGCTAACGTCGTGCCTATGACTTGAGCCGTGATTAAGTTACGCTAACGTCGTGCCTATGACTTAATCTACCCTAGCGACGTTTCGCATCCTATTTATATGGCGGACGCGTCTTATGTGTGGGATGTTAAGCGTTGTAAAACTTATCGATACGTGAGTTTATGTCTTAAATGTTTTCGCTTAATTTAACACAGGTGCAGACAGCGAAAATGAAGAGCTTGAGACTGTGGCCGCACAGCCTCGGGAAGACCAAGTCGAGGACCTGAGCCCGGAATCACCTTTCGTCCGAGCTTCTGGTCTACCTTCGGACGACGAGCAGCAACCATCGACGTCTGGGCTACAAGGGCTGGCAGGTGCCTCAAGCACTAGCCACGCCGTTGATGGACTCCAACCCAGCGGTCCGGGACTGTCCATGCCACTGCTGGACTGAAGGAAGAGGGAGACCGAGGACGGTCTCCTGTCAGGAGAGGCCGTGTAGGAGATGTGGAGATTTGCGGCGACCGTCCCTATATAAGCCAGCGCGCAGTGCGACTCGGGCTCACTTTGCCTTCAGCCGTCGCTGCGATCGGAGCTCTCAGATTTTGCATTTTGTGTGTTAATTATTTTTGATTGTAATTTTTGTTTTCTTATTAAAATCAGTGCAAAGTCATTTTTGTCTTTTTAAAAAAGTACTTTCCCTCGGGATTCGCTACAATACATAATTTTTATTTTCAGATCTTTTTTCTTCATAACATTCATTGATCATATTGTTTTAATTAATAATGTTGTTATTAAGAACATACTTCAACTCATAATGTTGTTGTTCAGAATAATTTACTTTATAACAGTAGTGTATTATTGGGCATTCTGTCCCCCAGTCGTCCGCTTCGCTTCCGACCGTTNCGCTACAATATATTCTAATCTACCCCCATTATAATTTCTATAGTCTGGTCTGCGAGCACGTAGAATTTTGTCCAATGACCCCAAGCTGTTGCTGTCGCGCTCGCACACTCACTGCGGGCGCCCGTCGCACAGTCGTGACAGCAATATAATTACGCGCGAGCGATAAGGATGGGTAGCTTGGGGTCATTGGACAAAATTCTACGTGCTCACAGACCGGGCTTCAGACATCTGTGAACATCTTTAAATATTCATTAGTCGTCATTAAATTAATGAATAACTTTCTATCCAGACGCACACGGGTGAGAAGCGCTACGCCTGCCGACTGTGCGAGAAACGCTTCACGCAGAGCGGTAGCCTCAGTCTGCACTACCGCACCTTCCATCTGAAGCAGCCCTACCCTCCGAGGTAAGTCACCAATTTCTCTACGACAGGGCTTCCCAAAATTTTTTTTACTGTGACTACGCCCTTGGGAATGAGCCATTTTTATTTGTCACAAACATTGAGTTACCATGAAGGCAGGAAGCCCTGCTCTAAAAATTTAAAATGTCTTAATGCCATAATATGTGTGATGTAGCACAGGGTATTCTAGTACGGACATCAGCCTCTACGAAATACTTATTTTTATTCCTTGTTGTTATAATGACTCGTTACAAACTGTGACTTTATGTATTTTGTAAAGAGAAATAAAGTTGATTTATTATAATATCCTGGATGGATAAATGATACTTTTTCAGGAAAAACTATGAACGGATTTTGATTAAACTGGAGACGTCGGTAAAGCCGCGACCTAAAGCTTTTTTCCCAATAATCCCAAAACACAACTTTCCTAAAAGAACACATAATTCTGGCCCAAAAAAATCAGTTAGTTAAAAACTTGGTTTATCAATCAAGTTAGAAACAAAGAAAGCTAGTTGATGGAGTTGACAAAATAGTGACGATATCGACTTGTGACGTCACAAAATCTTAGACATAGCTTAGAGAGATTTGCATTTTGATAGCTTCAATGTATGTCATATTATTGTCAACTTGACGTATATTTTCGTTTACAGGAACAGAAGAAAAGAAATCGAGAAGCCGAGCGCAGACGCAGCGAACTTCCTAGGTTTTTACGGCAAAGAAGAATATTAAATAGGACTCCTTCTCTTTAATGACATTTTACTAGTTAAAATTTTGTAGCTAAATATTTACTAGTGAACAATGCTGTGGATTTGCATATTTTATTAGGACTTATCGCGTGTAAATAAATAGGTAAATTAGTTTTTTAATAACTTTTTATAATAATAAGGTCCTATATCATTATTTAGGATCATTTGAAAGCGATAAAGGGTTTATTTTTCTACAATGTCTTCTCGCACTCAACATATTGACAAAAAGGTAATTTATCCCTGCTAAAGTCACGAAAAAATATGAATCACGCTACAGACTAAAGCCCAGCCAGCCCAGTGAGCACGTAGAATTTTGTCCAATGACCCCAAGCTACCCCTCCTTATCGCTCGCGCGTAATTATATTGCTGTCGCGACTGTGCGACGCGCGCCCGCAGTGAGTGTGCGAGCGCGACAGCAACAGGGTCATTGTCCAGGTCATTGGACAAAATTCTACGTGCTCGCAGACCAGACTATAGTGGTAGCCCAACAGATGGCGCTGACATACGTTACGCTACAAACCTGCATCGCGGTGTCAGAGTTCTCTGCGCTACTAACACATTATTTAGCAAACCGAGATGATACACAACTGGACCTTGGTCCTCAGTACAACACCCGCTCGGAAGGAAGCATTTCCACCTTGCTTTCTTATGTGTTTGATCCTCAAAATATACCACATATGATTGAAGTGAAAAGAAGGCTGTTTTTTTAAATAATGGAACGTCTCCGTTAACTGTTTCCTTGCAACAAATTATCTTGTAAGACTGCCATCAAAACCGATCTAAAATTACTGCCATTTATATTAAAAGATCGGTTTTAATAACTACGGGAAAGAGGACTTTATGAAGTCTATCCGTAAAGGTGTTTATTGTATGTAAACAGTAAAATATGTATTGTATCTAAGATAACTGCAATAAAAAGCAATATTAATATCTTAGTAATAAATATTAATTTATTAGGACCTTTTTATTATATAATGATCTGAAAATAAAGTTCTTATCTATTACTCCACTGAATAACTACGATATAGATTGTATTAATAGCGAATTATAATAAAACTATTCAATTATTTACAGCAGTGTTTTTCAACCTGTGGGTCGCGACCCTCTGGGGGGTCGCCAAGCCTCTATAGGAGGGTCGCGAGAGGTCGTAAAAACTACCTCAGTAAAAAAAACAGTAAAGTAATAATGATAGATTTATCAGAAATCTAATAAATGCAAATGCATAAATGTTGTATCGATTGAAATATTCGGTCCCTACAACATCTTAGTAACATTATAAAATGCGTGGGCAAAATATTTTTCCATACTAGGGGGGTCGTGTGACACGTGTGAGCGGCTCGTTGCTCTGTTAGAAGGAAATGCCTAGTCCAGGGGTGGCCAACTTGATTAGGCATAAGATCTAATGTTTACTAACAAAACCCTGGGCGATCTACCACTTACATACTTCTTGAAATCTTAAATGAAACAGCATGGTTTAGTACACAATCATGTAGCACGATCGACTGGACTAATAGTCGATCGACCGGTCAACCCTGCCTTAGTGTATACTCACCTGTATAATAATAATATGATTACGCCCATTTAGGCTTTGTTTTATACAAATGAGGCTTGTTCATACTTTTGATAACGTAACATTGTCAATTTTTGTTTGGACTTTTCCTATTTATTGTCTTTTCTGTACGGAGTTGTTACAATTATCTCCTACCAATGTTTTAAACTTTCACTGCCCAACCGATTTTCATCTCTTTCTGAATGATTGGACAAATTAATATTGTCAATAGTTATTAATTGTTCTTTAACAAACTACATTTTATTTATTGTTAGTCTGTCTTCACACTAGATAGTTTCTATACATTTAGGTGTATAAGGACCCACCTCATGATGTTGGGCTGCATATAGGTGCGCCAATGATTGTACATTAAGATTAAGGAACCGATTGCTAAGATTGTAAGCAATAACTCCGCGTGTACAAACACAGCGTGATGCAATCGACAGTGTGAACATAGCCTTTAAAACATTATTATGTATCGGTTCAGTACCGAACAAAACAATCGAACCATTGTGAAACTAGGGATCTACAAAGTGATATCACTCCAGCTTTGTTCTATTTTTATGAATTAAGCGCCATATAAGTAGATAATTAATAATTATTATGATTATAATATTTATTCTAAAATATTTCAGCAATACAGATTCAGATACTGCCTAGTATACAGGGTGTTAGGTAAATGGGTATTGAGCCGACACTAGCCCATGTTAACATGGGCATATAAATGGTATGGTGAAGTCAGAAATTTGATATCATCATTTTAATCTTTTTAATTATCATACAAAATAAATTTTGTAAAATCCGATTTGTATGAAAAATAAAATAATTAAAATGAAGATATCAATTTTCTGACTTCACCATACCATTTATATGACCATGTTAACATGGGCTAGTGTCGGCTCATATACCCATTTACCTAACACCCTGTATATTTTATTGATTGTGTACCTAGATTAAATTATTATTAGTACGTGTATTGTAATTTTAGATTATACGTCTAAAATATTGTCACTGCTAAGTATAGATTACATTATACAAATATAATACAATAAGAAGATAAAATAATGATGGTTTTATTTTCCTTTGATTGATTTGAATTTAAAGTAGGGAATTTAATATACAGGTATCTTCTTCTTCTTCTTTTATTTTGGCGACGGCTTGGTTTTGAAAACCATGATTTCGCCAATGTCACGTAAATAGCTTTGACAAAGTTACAGGGTTTTAAGAGAGAAAAAAAAAATATTTTTAGGTATCACTTATCTGAGTCACTGGCTGAAGTATGGGAGCGACACGGGAGGGTGTATTTTGTGACAGTCAAACGCTGAGACTTTAAATCTTCAGATTTGTATGCTCTGGATGGCACCCACCTCAAACCAATGTCACCCCTGATGACCCACGCTGAACTGTCCCACCAAACTCAATGGCATGGGGGCGCTACCATCGTTCAACTATATGGTTTCCAACATGGCAAAAATCTGAACCAGCGATCCGGTATTGACGGTGGCGCCCCACTGTCAATGTCATCGACAGGACAGTCCAGTATTTTGGAACTATACATTACCTCCTGTATGGGAAATATGTCAAAATTACAATTTTATTTTTGGGAGAGACATATCCGACGGTTGAAAAATGAATGAAATCAATCAATAGTATTTCTTATTAAATTACAAGGTGTTTGTTTTTCTTACACGGTTTGTAAATAGACATTAAATCGATTTTCGATTATACCGCACTTCCCTATTTCTCTTCGATTTGATTTTGTCATTGGAGACGTTTGGCCGAAAATAGAATTGTTAGTGCTAATAAGAAAATTATGGCTTGCGTTTAGCGGTAAAAACTATCAATGTTAAAAAATGTATGGACGACTTCACTATTGAAGTCAGCAAACGTGTCCTCGCCGAAGAGATGAAAAGTTTTCTGTGGCAGCTGCCATGGCGATCGCCATTTTTCTAACAAAATTTATGTTCGGCCAAACGCCTTAATTTCGCGCCGCGCCGTCTTGTTGTCATTGTCAAAAAAAATGTCAATATTTCGCGTTTTTCCTGGTTTTTCCGTCGAGTCCTTTCATAATTCGATGGGCTTTGTCGTATTTTGGATTATTGAAATAAGTTTTTCAATTGATAAAAGTAAACAATAATTCACGATAAAGTCAATTAACTAACGTTCCAGTATGGCTGACCTCAAGATATGCAGGATATGCCTTCGAACAGAGGCGAAGGTTTACAGGCTCGATCAATTTCAGCTTGTGTATTATTATGAAGAAGTTATGGCGCTAAAAGTAAGTATTTTTACTCTTACATACATATTAAGGCTACTTTGTAAAGTTTTCTCAAGATCCTTTCGGCCAATGCGTTTTGTCTTGTCGATACCTACAAGCCGGCACAATCTATTTTTACTCCGATTAGGCAATGTACCGTAAATTTAACCGCCTTATTAATTATCCGTAAATCCTTAAATTGTAAATAAACCGCCTAATAATACAATAAAATGTAAACCGTCTAATAATACAATAAAATGTTATTCGTCACTAAAAAACCCTGTAAGTATTTTGTGACTTTTCCCAGCGGGTTTTTATTAGTGTAGATAAATAAATATTGCAATTAAAAGCGAACCCTTGTAACATATGAAGCCTGAATCCATTCTCTAACTCCTACCATCCAATAGCTCAGTCTAATCTTTATGTAAACAAGTTCTTGAGGTTTCTTTAAAGCCATTTTGTACTATTGTTGTTTTCAGTTAGATTATGATGATGGTCTACCACAGTACTGCTGCTATGAATGTGCCACCATGCTCCATAAGTTTCACAAGTTCAAGGAAAAGTGTTACCGAGGACAAAAGGCATTCAAAGAGATGCTGTGGAAAGGTCCAGTGAGTAACAATTTCTGTTACATAAAACATAGTATTCTTACAGTCAACAACACATGATTGTCAATATTGTTACATATTTTCAAACATGACAATATGTAAAATACACTCGACAGCAAATAAATCGCACCACCCGCGGTNCTATGACTTGAGCCGTGATTAAGTTACGCTAACGTCGTGCCTATGACTTAATCTACCCTAGCGACGTTTCGCATCCTATTTATATGGCGGACGCGTCTTATGTGTGGGATGTTAAGCGTTGTAAAACTTATCGATACGTGAGTTTATGTCTTAAATGTTTTCGCTTAATTTAACACAGGTGCAGACAGCGAAAATGAAGAGCTTGAGACTGTGGCCGCACAGTCTCGTGAAGACCAAGTCGGAGACCTGAGCCCGGAATCACCTTCCGTCCGAGCTTCTGGTCTACCTTCGGACGACGGGCAGCAACCATCTACGTCTGGGCTACAAGGGCCGGCAGGTGCCTCAAGCACTAGCCACGCCGTTGGTGGACCCCAACCCAGCGGTCCGGGACTGTCCATGCCACTGCTGGACTGAAAGAAGAAGGAGACCGAGGACGGTCTCCTGTCAGGAGAGGCCGTGTAGGAGNAACCATAAAATTTGGTCTAATTGATCCCAGAGGTGAGCCCCAAGTGAGGTCTTTTTTCAAGTCACATTTATGGTAATGTTAATCATTTATTAAGAAATTAAATGTGTTTTTCTTTAAGGATATTTATTGGGCTTTCAAATAACACCAATATTGTTGGGGCACCATTATTGTGTCAAAAGAAAATCTTTGAAGTTCGCGTCGTGGGTGGTGCGATTTATTTGCTGTCGAGTGTATGATATCGTTATGTCGTTTTAATCCTCCAAATATAAGTATTCTGACCCTATAGCACTCCCTTTATACAAAGGCAAATAAAGAAACAATAATTTCATTCAACTCCTAACTTTTCAAATCACAGGTCACATATGAATCGGTATACAAAGTCGACAGAAAAGCTCTCGGTCTCCAGTCCACGTTAACAGTTCTCCCAGTGGAGTATGTTACTACAGACGACATGGATACCGTCATAAAAGAAGAAAACGACGAATATGACGAAGACAATTGCAATGAGTCATTATCGGATACTGATAATCAAGAGATCTATAACCATGAAAGTAATTCAATTGATGAGAAATGTATAGTACTACCAGATAATGAAGTTGGAATGGTCGTAGATTCAGAAAATCCACTTGATTCTACAACAGTATTCGTAGAGGATAAAAAAGAAGTCACAGTGCTTGAAAATGAGCCGTTAAAGAATGAGAAAAAGCCAGTAAAGAAAAGTAAACGATCACATACAGCACCTATTACTCGTAATGCTAAGAAATACAAGATTGTTTCGAAGACGAAGTTCCTGGATGCTAATCATTGGAAGATGTTTAATTTGTCGGAAGAAGAGGCAGTGAAAGATTTCAGGGCTAAAGCAGATGACCCTAAATATTTGGCAGCATCGTTCAAGTGCACAGATTGTTTTAAAGGTTTCTCGAAAGAGCTCATGTTGAAACGACATAGGCATTTAAGGCATAATGAAGTGAGTATGTTTTTCTATACTATTTATTTCGAATTGTGTAAGGTTCCTAAACATCTGTCAATAAGGGGCCATCCATAAAGTACGTCACACGAATTTCATGATTTTTTTACCCCCCCTCCGTCCTTGTCACAGGTGGTCACATTTCTGAGACCCCCCCTCCCTAGTGTGACGTAACATGTTTCGCAATTTCACATCGAAAAATTATTAAATTAACAGCAGTTCCAAAATTAGTTTTATTTCCATTTAAATTAAGTATTTTTTTTATGAAATCAACATTATATCAAATATTTGAAACAATTGAAATTAATGTGATATCACGAAACTTAGGACCCCTCCCACCCCTTGTCACACCATGTCACACTTTGTCAACCCCCTCCCCCCGTCTTTACGTGTACTTTATGGATGTCCCCTAATGGGCATGTAATGATATTGAAAACAGATAATTCCGCTTAGTGACGCCGGCATAAGTACCTCGCGTCCACCGACAATGTTATAGTACAAGCAAATGCAAGAAGCATATCCCATCACTTGTATTTATTTGGAAAAGTTAGCTCCTTCAATTTATGTTTCACATAATATTTCCTCTGTTGTTCAGGATTCTATTACTTAATATTTTATATGGAAAGTTATCATGTTTTTTGCTGTGTCGTTCTAGAAACATAGAATACTACCCTGTAGATTTCATAAAAAAAATTACCGTGTCTGCCGCACACAATACAAGAATTTCGTCGGACCTAGCTAAATTTGACACACAGTGCGCGTCCGCCGCGTGTTTATCTAGCGCAGACAAGAATTATTTCTTGGTCAGCGTCGGAGCAATGTACACGGTTCGTGTGTAAAGCCCGGTCTGTGAGCACATAGAATTTTGTCCAATGACCCCAAGCTACCCATCCTTATCGCTCGCGCGTAATTATGTTGCTGTTGCTGTTGCGACAGACTATAGAAACGACACGAATTCTTGCGTAGACCCGGCGACTTTTTTAGCATATACGTACAAACGGCCTGAGGGTAGCATGGCTTGTGTGACTATTTGAATTTGTATTATGTTTTAAGTAATTACACTACATAATTTACAGACTGTAGGCCCAATAGAGTGCCGCTTCTGCCGCATGCGTTTCAAATGGGACTGCGAACTACGCAAGCACATGCGCTCACACTTCACCAAGTTCCAGTGTTTGAGATGCGACCTGGTCTGCCCTATCGAGTGAGTAAAACCTACTTTGTGTCCTGACCATAGCTTTTATCTGAAGCTCTAGTGCAGGGACGACGAACCAATGGTACGCGTATCATATCTATACTAAAGCCTGGTCCGTGAGCACGTAGAATCCCGTCCAATGACCCCAAGCTACCCATCCTTATCGCTCGCGCGTAATTATGTTGCTGTCGCGCTCGCACTGCTGCTGCTCACGGACCAGGCTTTATCTATACTAATATTATAAATGCGAAAGTAACTCTGTCTGTCTCTCTTTCACGCCAAAACCACTGAACCGATTTTGATGAAATTTGGCAGAGATATTTTGAGTCCCGGGAAAGGACACAGGATAGTTTTTATCCCGGTTTTTGAAAAGGGACGCGCGCGATAAAGTTTTTCTGTGACAGACAAAATACCACGCGGGCGAAGCCGCGGGCGGAAAGCTAGTTCACTATAAAATAAAAAAGTTAATAATATGTCTTTTGAATAAAGGCCATCGTATTTTCCACTTTTGAGGAAGGTTCCGTCACTTGTCAGTGGCGCCACTTGGGATATCGTACCCCTCATCGATATGTCTATGTGTTGTTTGATGTCATGTCTATGACTACGTCAATCATTTTTTTATAGAAAAGTGGCACGTTGATAAATAAAGGTTCGCCATCCCTGCTCTAGTGTGATTTGCAAAAAGATTAAAATAACATAGTTTTTTGTTTCAGGACCACAGCTTTGTTACACGAGGATTATCACAACGGAATTATTAGGAAATGCATTCACTGCAATGAAGAGTTCAAGTATGCGATCATAAATTAATGTGGTACTGTACATTTGTATATTTCGTGTCAAACAAAGTTTTTCTTATTGTTATCGTGTTGCAGACATAGTTCGACATATTACACGCATTTGCGTACGCATCGTAGCGATCACGTGTGCACGACGTGCGGCGCGTCCTTCGTCAGCGTCGCCGGGCTCAGCCAGCATAAGAAGCTGCAGCATTTCCACAGCGAGATCGTGAGTACATACGACACTAGTAAAGTCCGGTCACCGAGCAGATAGAATTCCGTCCAATAACCCCAAGCTACCCATCCTTATCGCTCGCGCTATGTTGCTGTCGCGCTCGCACACTCACTGCGGGCGCCCGTCGCATAGTCGCAACAGCAATATAATTACGCGCGAGCGATAAGGATGGGTAGCTTGGGGTTATTGGATGAAATTCTATGTGCTCGGCGACCGGACTTTATACGACCTACTACTCACACATGTAGGCCAGGCCTATTCATCTCCCCGAATGGAAGAAGGACACGACATTATGTAAACCCAATTTACGACATTATGATCCAAAGAACATTGCACGACACTGCTAAAAATGAATGATACTCGTCACTATTGAAGTTAGCAAAAACGACCTCGCCGACAACAGTTGTCGGTAATAATACTTTGTTTCTCAAGCGCGAAAAACGAACGTACCTAAGATTTGGTTTATCTAACAGTGATTTCATCTTATTAAGGTGGTTAAATTGTTTCTTTTTGTATGCTATGCTTACGTCGAGTATGAAGTGGGACTTGATTTAGCACTTATTACTTTTGCGTGACATTTGATTGAACCCAGTTTTGTAAGTCAAATAAATAAAAATAAAGTACTTACCTGGTTTGCCGCCGTTGCGCTATTGGCTCCGCACTGTATTTCACTTTATTTCACAACACATTCACAATTATAATATTTTAAACTTTCATGTTGCATTTTTACTAAATTCTCACTACTACGGGATTTGGCAACACAAACACTTTAAAAAGGTAAAAAGATAATTTTACCTTCCCGACGTTTCGACTCGGTTGCACGAGTCACGGTCGCGGGCAGACTGAAGTGATGCGGCGTCGTCTGCTCTTGCGCGATGAATTTTCTTCACCCACCCGCATTTGCACAATATTTTCGTCCGTGGTACAGTCAGTCCGAAAATTACAATAACAGTTTCCGGGTTTCTTTGAGACGGCCTAAAACGCGTGTGTTGTCAAATCCGGTAGTAATGAGACATTTTACAATTTTATTATTCACCAAAATTCTTGCCAAAACGAGGTGTTAAATTCGTAATTTTTCGTGTGTTCCACTCGTAAAAATGAGATTTTATTCGTAGGTCTAGAAAAGTGGCACTTTTGGATCGAATCCGTCGTAACTTCATACAAAAAAGGCCTTTCGACATTACAACTGTCCCCTTTTTCTACTGGTCAAGGGGGCTAGCGCAAGCTACTTCTGCAATTTGTTCGGCTTGCAAGGTTTGCGAGTTTAGAGTAGTAAGCAATTTATTTAGCAATTTATTAAGTCGGCCGTTTGGTGTAGTGGTTCAGAACGGACTACTATGCCGAGAGGTCCCGGGTTCGATTCCCGGCCGGGCAGAAATTGAAATGATGAATTTTAATTTCTGTGACGGGTCTGGGTGTGACTATGTATAATATTTATGTATTTAAAAAAAAAGTATATAAGTAGTATATCCGTTAAGCTAGCACCCATAACACAAGCATTAAGTTGCTTACTTTGGGGCTAGCTGGCGCTGTGTGAAATTGTCCATAGATTTATTTATTTATTTTAATTTATTTACGACACTAATATAAGATTCTTTCAACGCAGGAGAGTCCGGACGATGACGAAGAGGTGAACACATTCTGTGAGAAGTGCAACATTCGCTTCGAGACTAGAAAAGCTTACAATGAGCATCTGTTCCACTCCGCTATGCATTTGGAAGGAGCCGAGTAAGTGATACAAATTCTTTATTTGTTCGTTCGTTCGTTTCAGCCGAAAGACGTCCACTGCTGGACAAAGGCCTCCCCCAAGGATTTCCACAAAGACCGGCCGCTCGTACCTCCCGCGACCTTCACCAGATCGTCGGTCCACCTAGTGCAGCGGTTCTCAAACTTATTTAGTCTACTGCCCACTTTGAGAATAAATGATTTTTAGCGCCCCCCATTTTTGTAGTCAAGAGTCGAGCTCAGTCGGTGTCTAAGAGTCCTCCTAGTAGATGACGCCTCCCAAGCCTCTACACAACGTCCCGATTTTTTTTCCGGGTCTCTTATCGCCCCCCTTTAAACCTGCAGCGCCCACAAGGGGGCGTTATCGCCCACTTTGGGACAGACTGACCTAGTGGGAGGCCTGCCCACGCTACGTCTTCCGGCTCGTGGTCGCCACTCAAGAACTTTCCTGCCCCAGCGGTCATTAGCTCTACGGGCTATGTGCCCCGCCCTTTAGCGATTCTGCGGGCTATGTCAGTCACTTTGGTTCTCTTTATTTGTATATCACAGGAAAATGTTTTGTTCTCTTCATTTCAACCATAGGACGTCCAAAGATGAACATAGGCCTCCCCCAATGATTTCCATAATGGCGTTGGTAGTAGCCTGTATCCAGCTACCTTCATGAGGTCGTCGGTCCACCTTGTGGGTGGACGTCCTACGCTGCGCTTTCCGGTACGTGGCCTCCACTCCAAAACCTTGCTGCGCCATCAGCCATCAGCAATACTTTTTTACATGGGGTTCGAATTCATTGAATCCGAACATTACAATCTAATGGGGGTAGTTGGAATGTGATTTCACCCCACAATTTTAGTGACGATGACCTATGACGTCATTTATTAAATTTATGACGTCAAGGCACGTGATTAAATATTCCTTTTTGATACATTTCAGACAAGATCTAAACGACGAATACTCAGTGCCAAAGAAGATACTTGGAAAGAAAGCTCAGGAAAAGGTATCCATCTATACTAATATCATAAATGCGAAAGTAACTCTGTCTGTCTGTCTCTCTTTCACGCCTTAACCACTGAACCGATTCTGATAAAATTTGGCATAGAGATAGTTTCGAGTCCCGGGAAAGGACATAGGATAGTTTTTATCCCGGTTTTTGAAATAGGGACGCGCGCGATATTGTTTTTCTGTGACAGACAAAATTCCACGCGGGTGAAGCCGCGGGCCTAAAGCTAATATCTTTACAAATAAAGTCGACGAGTTAAGCTCAGAGCAGACTTATCAACTCGGAAAGGGATCGACATCGTATCGCCTTTCGCGCTGTCAACCGCGAGGCGAGGCGTTTACGTTACGGTGCGGTTAAGTGTGCGTTGCAGTATGGAGTTTCATACAAAGAATACTGAGGGCTGAGTGTGAGTTTTCAACCGACTTCAAAAAACTTGTGCAGGCAAACTTTACATGTTTCATAATCTTGGCACCGACTCCAGAAGTATCAATCATGATAAACCTACATAAATATTAATAATTCGTCCTAATAAATAAGTAGGTAATTAGTAATTATTTTTCTACGTTTTAGTGTAGGTTTTTTGGAGTCGGTTTTATTTTTTTTTTATAAAATTTTCATCAAAAAATGACATTTAATGTATGACGGATTGTACACACGGCCACACTGTTAATTATACATTTCCGTTTTTGCTCTCGCTCTAATCAAATGGCGATTCTTTGCGATAGAACGAGATGGCATGACTGGCAATGGGCAGTTAACACTGTTACCGATAGTACAGCGCCCCTAGCGGGAAACGTTCAAAAACTAAAATTTTCATAAATTTTTTAACGAGCTCACTAGTGAGCGCGTTTGATGTAAACTCACACTCAGCCCACTGACCGCCTCGAGTTGACACGGTTACAATCCCTTTTTGGGCTGATAAATGTGCGACGTCCTTTATAATGTAAAAGTAGATGAAGCGAATATTTTTTAAAGATTTGTGTTTTTCCTTTTCAGATCACCATCGAGCTGCGAAGAAAGTAATTATTATGATAATTTCACATATTTCAAATATTGTTATTGCTGAATTTAATTACATTTTGAAAGACTTACCTAATATTAGAGGCCGGTCGATCTATTCTCATAAATAAAACACTGCTCTACAACTTTCACATTATATTGCTTTATTTTAGATACAATTCATCACTTAGCACAAAAGCGCGGAGTCGTCTCTGCGCGTCCCTCTATTCTGACGTTTGATTCTCGTGTGACATTGACAATACGTCAATGTCACTATGACAGCAGCTCATTGGCTATAACGATATAGATGACCCACGCTGAACTGTCCCACCAAACTCAATGACAGGGGGGCGCTACCATCGTTCAACTATATGGTAAAAATCTGAACCAGCGATCCGGTATTGACGGTGGCGCCCCACTGTCAATGTCATCGACAGGACAGTCCAGTATTTTGGAACTATACCGATATTTTAACGTTTTAGATTTTTCACAATTAACACTAATAAGTAAATTTTGGTAAATAATTGGAGATGCTACTATAAAAACCTTTTACTGTTCCCTTTTTCCATGGTAATGAAAGTGTATTTTCAACCGACTTCAAAAAAAAGGAGGAGGTTCTCAATTCGACCCGTATGTTTTTTTTTTCTATGTTTGTTACGTGATAACTCCGCCAATTATGAACCGATTTGAACAAATCTTTTTTCGGCGTATAGGTAATACCTCAAGGGTGGTCCCATTTAAATTTAATAATAGAAAAAACAACCCCCAAGGGTGGAAAATTGGGGATGAACTTTTTTATACGCAATATCTCCGCCGATTATAAATCAATTTGAACGATTATTTTTTTGTTGAATAGGTATTATCAAAATGGTGGTTTCATGCGAATTTGAAGAAAATATTTCACCCCCAAGGGTGGAAAATTGGGGATGAACTTTTTTATACGCAATATTTTTAATTTTTAGTTTTTTTTTGTGTTCACGCATTTGAAGTCGGTTTTATTTTTTTTAAAAGTTAATTATTATAACAACTTTCTTCTATTCTTTTGCAGCAAAAACTCAGAACAAAAGTTACCATCAATAAAATCGTACCGAAAGAGGAAACCGAGGAGGCAACCCAAAAAACCAACGGACTGTCATCAGGTAAGAATTTGTTTCGCGTTTTATGTACAACCAAGTTAAGTTAACTGCGCACCTGGGAGCCGTGACGTCACATGCTCTGATACGGACGGGGCAAACGCGGGGAGGTGTGCGGGTGAGTTCGAGGGAGTCGCATTCCAGCGAGATGCGCAGTTAGCTTGATCGTTTTGTATTTGAGTTTACTATAATATCATATCGTGGATGTCGTAATAAGAGGAGAAGCCACTAAAAGAAAAATAAATTAAATCCATTTGTCTCTGGTAAATTAGTAAATGTCGTGTCCCTAAAGTAGAGACTAAATAACCAGCCCCCCTAGACTAGTTACAAAAGTTGTAATTTCGAAATCGTTACGCTGCGGCGTTTTTTGTATTTACTACTTCGCTCCGTGAAGCGATGAAGTATTTTAATAAGTCTTATCGATATTTCTGTCTGAAGAGATTAGATGATTTAATTTTATTTTATTATTTATTTATTCACCATTTGAAGATTACGATTTAATCCAACTTACGGCTTGTTTTTACACTGTGGCGTCATCGCGTCAAGGGTGGGGCTGTCGATTAGTCTCCTGGCACGCCTTTCCACCGAATCCAAAGCAGCCAAATATTTCTTGGCAGACCCGTCCCAGAGGTGGCAGCAGTATTCCACGCAAGGTCGGATCTGTGCTTTATGTAACTGCAGCCTTGCTTGCAATTAAGAACATTTGATTTGATACTCAATATCATAATGTTTACTTACCAGTGCGGCAAACACTTCGAAACTCAAGCAGCGTGCATGAAGCACCATCTAGCGGAGCACCCGCGCACTTCGTTCTTCGCGCCCAATGAGAGACACATTTGCGAGATCTGCGGCGCTTCCTTAGCGGTCAGTATTTATTTGTTTATTTACTAAAGCCCGGTCTGCGAGCACGTAGAATTTTGTCCAATGACCCCAAGGCAAGCTACCCATCTTTATCGCTCGCGCGTAATTATATTGCTGTCGCGACTGTGCGACGGGCGCCCCCAGTGAGTGTGCGAGCGCGACAGCAACATAATTACGCGCGAGCGATAAGGACGGGTTGCTTGGGGTCATTGGACAAAATTCTACGTGCTCGCAGATCAGACTATATTATAGCCATTCACGAGGTTTAATTTTGGTCTGCCTCAGAAAATAAAAAAATACCCTTTCCAAAAGCCGGGTATCCTATAGTATATGTATATAATATACTTTACCTTATTTTAATTAGGGATATCGTTTTTATACTTAACAGTTGGCACCACTGGCGATGGCAAGACCCTATTCTATAGTGGCGCCATCTTGGTGAGTGTAAATGTGGTAGTCCTACTGTTTCGGCGCTCACCAATTGGCGCTACTGTCGTAGCCACTAGCAAATGAAGGGTCATTTAGAAGAACAACCAATGTAAAAAAAAAACAAAATGAGATTTTTATGTTTATAGTTTCTTTGTAATGTTGCCTATTAACCGTAAATGTTCTTCCAAATGACCCTTAAAATGTCAGTGACCCTACACTAAAGTGGCGCCAACTGGTGACCGCTAAAATGATAGATAATTTTCTGTTGATAATTCATAAATTATTGTCTTTTCTGCATAATAATCAAAATCTGTGTTTGTTTAAAGATCCGTAAGCTATGTGCCTGATCATGTGATTGAACAAATATTTGTTTCCAGCCGGGCAGCGTAGCCATGCATCAGAATATACACACACGCGAAAAGGAGTTTCCTTGCGACTCCTGTTCGAGGACTTTTCACTCCAGTATCGGCCTGAAGAGGCATATGGTGGTGAGTTACTTCTCATCCTTTTCAACGCTTTTCCCTTTCAGCTCGGAATGACAACTTCTCAAAATGACAACCGGGGCGCAAAATGTCCACTTCTCGAAATGACAACTTTTTAAAATGTCAACTTCGCTAAAAGACAACTTCTCATAATGTCTATTTCTCACAATGACAAACTCGCATTTGGTCTACTTCGCAACTCAACTACTTGCTGATATTTTATTTTCATTATTTCTAGAGTTCTAGTTCTTCTAGAGTTGTCATTATGTGAAGTTGACCAAATGCGAATTTGTCATTGTGAGAAATGGACATTATGGGAAGTTGTCTTTTAGCGAAGTCGACATTTTAAGAAGTTGTCATTTCGAGAAGTGGACATTTTGCGCCCCGGTTGTCATTTTGAGAAGTTGTCATTCCGAGCTGAAACGTCCTTTTCGACCAACAAAAGTCCACTGGACAAATGCTTCCTCAAGGATTTCCACAACGACCGGTTGCCCAAATCCAGGTGCCTACCTACTTATTTGGGCTCAATAGGGATGTTTCCTGGGTAAAAAAGCAAGTTTTAATTAGTCCGTCAGTTAGCTTATCAAAAACTACTCGACACGTATTTTTCACTTTTTGAAACTAATGAAAATGTAAAGACAAGGCGTGCCAAAGTTCTAAAGAAAAGGCCCGTGACGTCAATGAGTGCGTAAAAGTGCAGCACTTTGTGAAGTCGCGCGAAACTTCAACGCACTATAACTTTGTAATTATTTGTTTAATTGGCAATTAAAAATATGTGTCCAATATTTTTTTATATTAAAATTGACGGACTAAAAAAATTTTTTTAGGAAACTAGCCTATTAAACCTGGATATAAATATCACAGAAGCACGATCTCCAGTCTCAAATTTATCTAAAAGGTGCCAGTGGAACCCTTTGTAGACGGACAATTCTGACTCCTTCAATTCTGAATTCCCTGCTTCAGACGCAGAGGTCCCGGGTTCGATTCTCAGTGGGGGCAGATTTTTCTGTTTGGTTTGGTTGGTGGTAGGGCTTGTTCTAATTCCGCCATCTTACCCAAGTCTGTCGTCATAACAACAATGTTAACAGCATTGTTGTGTTCCGGCAGTTAGAGGTAAGATAGCCAGTTCCTCTGTGGTTGAGGATTCCGGGTGAAAATCGCTTTCACCTTCGGCCTGATCGTCACTTACCATCAGGTGTGATACAGGCCAAGAGCTTCCTCGTTGTGGATATAAAAAAAAATCTTTTAAAATTCTCTATATCCGCGCTCTAAGAACTAATAAATCCCGATATTCGACTAGCAATATGTCCATAAGGCTTACTTTGAACTATCATTACTATGCGCAGACGCACACGGGTGAGAAACCATTCGCCTGCAGCCTGTGCGACAAGCGGTTCACGCAGAGCAACAGTATGAAACTACACTACCGCACCTTGCATCTCAAGCAACCCTACCCAAAGAGGTGAGTACCAGTACAGGACTATTGCTATCATTCCCACACCAACTTCTGTGTCACCAGAGGGCCCAATGTGAGTTTTCATCAAACGCACTCACCAGTGAGCGCGTCAAAAAATGACATTAAATGTATGACGGATTGTACAGCGCCCCTAGCGGGAAACGTTCAAAAACTAAAATTTTCATGCATTTTTTAAACGCGCTCACTAGTGAACGCGTTTGGTGTAAACTCACACTCAGCTCACTGGGCTTCGATGTCGCTGATTTGTAATGTCGCTGATTTGTAATGTCGCCAATTCATTCGCGTTTCATCATCTCCAGTCCACACTCCAGTTACGCTCCATTTTCATTCCAGTTGAAGTGCAATTCAGTATCGCGAAAAAAAAGTCGAAACAACGGATTTATGCACTTTCCATTAAAAGTCCGGACACCTTATTTTTTAAACTAAAATAAATTAAAACAGCAAATGTTCGTGAAGCGTTTGAGATAAAGTTGCTTTCTGTCAGCTTTTTCTCAAAGACGCAGTTGCACTCCGTTTACGCAGCTGATTTTCGTTCGTGTTCCAGTCGCTTTGCAGTTGAAAATGCTACCGTTTTTGCGCTCATCGAATTGCGTCGAATTAGGTCTATCACTTGCCAGTAGCGCCAACTGATGAACACTCATTTGGTTTTTCTGACTACAATATCGTCTTCTTGAAGATACATTGTTAGAATTTATTTATTTGTGTCAATAACCGCCTCTGTGGTCTAGTGGTAAGACCACTGCTTCAGACGCCGAGGTCCCGGGTTCGATTCCCAGTGGGGGCAGATTTTTCTGTTCGGTTTGGTTGGTGGTAGGGCTTGTTCTAAGTCCGCCTGGCTAGCTACCACCATCTTACCTAAGTCTGTCGCCATAACAACAATGTTAACAGCATTGTTGTGTTCCGGCAGTTAGAGGTAAGATAGCCAGTTCCTCCGTGGTTGAAGATTCCGAGTGAAGCTCGCTTCCACCTTCGGCTGATCGTCACTTACCATCAGGTGAGATACAGGCCAAGAGCTTCCTCCTAAAAAAAAAACCTAATTCACAAACACTTATCATCCTCAGGAACAGAAGAAAGAAGAAAGCTGAGCCGCCCATGGTGATGGAAGAAGAGAAGAGTACCGGGGACGATTCCAACAGTGGGCAGCAAGACATGCATTACCTCACTCTACAATAAACCATCAGCCCACGCTACGTCTTCCAGCCCGTGGTCGCCACCCGAGAACTTTCCTGCCCCAACGGCCATCGTCTCTACGAGCTATGTGCCCCGCCCACTGGCACTTGATTTTAGCAATGAGGGCTATCGTTTTTATACTTAACAGTTGGCACCCCTGGCGATTGACAGGACCTTACTCTACAGTGGCGCCATCTTGATGAGTGCAAATGCGATAGTCCTCCTACCACTTTAGCACTCACCAGTTGGCGCCACTGTCTTCGCTACTAGCAAGTGACAGGACCTTACTCTACAGTGGCGCTAACTGGTGAGCGCTAAAACGATAGCCCTCATTCTGCAAGCTATGTCGGTCACTGGTTCTCCTGCTAAAGGTCCTGCTTGGTAAAGGTCGCGGGAAGAGCCTGGATGCGGGCAGCGCAGGACCGTTCATTATGGAAAACCTTGGGGGAGGCCTTTGTCCAGCAGTGGACGTCATTTGGCTGAAACGAACGAACGAACAATAAACCATCCCAAAGGTCCTAGGTTCTGTTCCCAGTAGGGGCAAACATTTTTCGGTTTGGTTGTTGAGGCTTGTTCTACGTCCGCCTGGCTAGCTACCATCATCTTACCTAAGTCATAAAAAAATACAGAATTTTTGTTTTGAAAGTTGAAGGTAAGATAACCGTGAGCACCTCTCCGCTTGCTTAGAAATGTAGAAAAACCAGCCAATATTTATAAATTTGCGATAAGTTGTATCAATTGTGAATACAAATTTTATTAAATAAGTAGTAAATGAATAGCAATAAGTAATTTAAATAAATTGTATTAAAATAAAAAAATAAAAAATATTTATTTAGAGGTGGAATTGTGTAAAGCAATAGTTATCATTTGACAGTTCATAACGTACGATTATTCTGTCAAACGCTTCGTTTAACTGACTTTATCGTACGTTATGAACTGTCAAATGATAACGATTGCTTTATAGTTCCAAAATACTGAACTGTCCTATCGATGACATTGACAGCGGGGCGCCACCGTCAATACCGAATCGCTGGTTCCGATTTTTGCCATGTTGGAAACCATAAAGTTGAACGATGGTAGCGCCCCCCTGTCATTGAGTTTGGCGGGACAGTTCAGCGTGGGTCATCTATACACAATTCCACTTCAGTTTAGACCACAAGTGGCACTTATGAACGTCAAAGTGGCACTTATGAACGTCATTATTTTCAAATACCAGCGCTTCTGTAAATCGCAAAATAAATGTAGTTTTGTTGTGATGTGTAATATTATACAGTTTACTATTGTCATTAATCTTTTGATATGGCATAAATATTATAAGGAATTTTAATGTCGTTTTATTTACTTTGATATATTTTATATTAACAAAAAATCTAAATATTTAAATTGATTTAAGCCAGTGTAACTTTTTTAAAACAAAGATATTAAATGATAAATCCGACACATAATATACAAATATTTATTTGTATAACTTAAATATTACATAATATTTTATATTATACACTTAAAACACTGATAGTCAAAGGGATAGTGAGCTCAGGTATTTTTTTTACAGAATCCTTGCAAGTGTTTTAATATTTAATAATTTACGTGTATAGTATGGCTATTGGAGACATAGCAAGTTCTTGCGAAAATATATAAAAACCTTAAATAAATTGTTTCTGATTCAACAGAAATGTTTCGTTTTAGATGCATAGCATCATTTAAAACTTATCCCTCCATTCGCTCCTGGGTTTGATTCCCAAATGGGGCACACAAATTAACTTACTATAATTTTTGTTATCACAAGAAAGATTTATATCAACATTGTCTCAAAATATTAAGCCCTATTAAGAGACGAATTCTGAAAATCAAGATTTATGATCGCCATAACTTCACGATAGATTTTCTGCGAAGTTTGGGGCTTAGTACCCAATCGCTGAATTTAATGAACAAGGAACTTATTTGCTAAGGTCTTCTTTATAGATACTCATTAATCCCAATGCATAATCCCACAAATATACTTTAGCAATTATGTAAATAAGGACAACACTAACTTCCAACACTAATTGTACCTTTACTTTTTTAATGGCAATGACTTGAGTTTTGGGAACCACGATTTCGCCAGTCACGTGTCTTCAAAACTTCTTTCAAATGACAAAGACAAGTTTAAGAATACCATGGAGAGGCATAGACAAGTCGTAAGTATATACTAACTTCGTTTATGAATGTCATAGACAATTCACAAAAAAACTTATAAAGCACACGTATTCTGTAGTGAATGAATCGGCCTTATTTTGCAAGATTGCTAAAGTCTACTAACAGAGAAATAATCTATTACCTAAACATAACCTGGTCCAGTTTAACTCTTGGCGTGGCTTCGAGACTCAGACTCGGCCGGCTCCGGCCGTCTGCCCAGGAGATCGCGTTTGCAGGACTTGTCGTTCTGGAAATGGTAATTTATATTTTTATAGACATGACTGATAGACAAAGGCTAGAAAAAGGATTTCCATAGTCCAGTGTTACCCGCACCCAGCTTTTCGCGAGCTTGATTAATCGTATTTATTCCCACGATTTTAAAACGTCAAGTGGCAAAAATCAACAACTATACATAATATAACAACCCAGTAGATATTGATAGTAGCGCCCTCTTGATAATGTTCATTGTTGGACATTTTTAGAGTAGGCGCACACCGTTGATTTTTCGTCGGCCGATAGTTTAGTCGGGCAGTTGATCAGTATGGGCATGTATGGGAGTGCGCACACTACACCGATTCGATTTGGCCGATTCTTCATACAAATTAAAATCGGGCACAACTATCGGCCAACTAAAAATCAACGGTGTGCGCCTACTCTTACTATTTTGTGACGGACCGAAAACTGAACTGTCATTCACAACCTGGCACTGGACAGCGGCTAGACTAATAATATATTTGGACATCCAGATTTTTGCTAACATTACACAAATTAAATTTTTAATGCTTTACTCGTCGCCATAAGTCACAAAAGTATTTTTTTTTGCAATTAGGCTTTTAACACTATAGCTTACTGACGTATTCACTTATAAGGGTTAGCCATAGCCACACTGGACTGGAAAGCAATGAATTATTTTGACCTGCTGTGCCTTCTGTGCTATAAAGAAGGTTTAATAGCGCACGATACTCACGCAAATGGACTCATCGCTGGACTCGTCGGTGTCGCTAGTGGAATCTGTGTCGTAGTGCCCCAGTCCAGGTAAGACACCGATACAGCGCAGCGTGCCTCCCACCGCGGGGGCTTCGGATCCGTTCTCTTTGGACTCACTGTGGAATGAGATATGAGGTGGAATTGTGTAAAGCAATCGTAATCATTTGACAGTTCATAACGTACGATAAAGTCAGTTAAACAAAGCGTTTGACAGGATAATCGTACGTTATGAACTGTCAAATGATAACGATTGCTTTACACAATTCCACCTCTGGTTGTTACAGATCTAACGCATAATTCAGTGCATGAGGTATACAGGGTGGGTTTTGTAATGCCACCTGGAGGAAAAGTACTCTTAATATTGAAGATAGAAAATTTTAGTCAAAGAAAACATTTCTTTATTTTTTAAAAGGAAGAAAACTGCATTCAAAGATTTTGTTTTTTTTTTTTTAATTTCTCTACCATACCATATAATTTTCTGAAAATAATTACAATAATTTAAGATTTCATGGTTTTCCTCATTTGATTATTATTTAACCCTAACAATCGATGCAATAAAAATACAGGGTGTAATTTTTGACAGATTTTAGTTGATTCCCGGGTGTGGCATGCAATTGGAAATGAGAATTTGTATGTCAAGATGAAAAAAGATAGAAAATTCCCGTTTTATTCAATAGCTAGGTAAAATAGAAAAATTGTGCAGGAAAACTATGCACAAAGTAGGTACTTTATTCTAGCAAATATTATTTATAATGTTAATTGAATTGGCATTTCGAAAAGTACAAAAATAAATAAACATCAGAGAAAACTCCAAATAAATGGTTACAATACCTGTTGGTTATTCCGTTAGTTTTAGTTGGGGGAGCACCTTTCTCTTGTTTCTCATCCTCCATCTCACTTGCTTTCCTCTTTCGCACAATCACCTGAAATGAAGATGTTGGTAAGTTAGTACTAAGTACTTTAATAGAGAGATAAGATAAGACCTAAAGAGGTGAATGCTGTTTTAAAATGAACATGTAGTCTCTGGATGAAAGTATGATAAAAACACAATTTTTCTAGTTAAATATATGTAGAATAAGAGTTATTTATGCTCTGGTAAGAAATAAAAGCGGTTAATTAAAGTGAATCAGACATAATTATTTTTTATTTGTAAATATTTAGTCTATGTAGGTACTTCATAAATTGTAGCTGTATTTTAATGGTATCTTGGTACTAATTTGGAAATAAATAATTAATACTCAAGTAAATCAGATAGGACTTTTATTATCATATTTTTGATAGTAAGGCTGAAAGACACATACACAAAAAAGAGTATGCAGTTTATATCTAGTATTTATCTTTTGTAACTCATAGATAACACAATCAATATTATACTCAAAACTGGATTTATATGTTTGACATGTTAAGTGTGTGTCAATATTTTATGACTATGTATATGTTACGGTCAAAGTGATAAATGTAAAAATTATGAATAATCGCCGGTTATTATGAATAATCGCCGGTTATTATGAATAATTACCGCATGATCTGGTAAATGTGATTAATATGAGGTCATTTATGTGTGTATAAAACTAAATAGGCGGCTTAGGGGTGGCCCAAGGGCCACCCCCGCCGCACCTTAACCTATTTTTCACTTTAAATCAAAACATTATGTTATAGGCATCATGGAAAAGTAATATTATGCAAGAAACATTCCAAACTCATTATGCCAAATTATAATATTATATCAAAACGTTGAAAAGTTTGGCTGTACACGGGCACATACACAAGATGTTGCTCTCTTTTATGAAATTTGTTAGTACTAAGGTTGAATTATTAAATAATCACTGTTGAATGTGATTAATTTATCACTTTTACCGCGACTGTCGGTAATTATTCATAATAACCGGTTATTATTAATAATTTTCAATTTATCACATTAACCGTAACATATATTTTAAAGACTGTAAATTCTTGAAAAGGAGGCTGACTATAGTGACTGAGTTTCTTGCGCTGCTTCTTCTCAGCAGTGGTAAAATAAAAAAAAACATCAAAATTTATTCAGTTTAGACCACAAGTGGCACTTATGAACGTCAATAGAAAATAATAAAAAAAAAGAAAAGGTATAGCCCTTATGGGGCACTTTACATGTCTCCTTATCTTTTGGGCCCTACCAGGTAGTACTGGGACATGTAAAAGTGCTTTTTAAAAGCAAAAATCAAATCAAAACGGAATCTGTTTCCTCGGCCTTGTCAACTTACTCCAAGCAGTTTGTTCTTCTGTGCCTGCGGCGCGGGCGCTGGCGTGGACCGCGCGGGCGCCAGTTGCGCGCGCAAACGCGTCAGTTCCTCACTCTCTGCCAGTGTGGATACCCGCTCCCTAGCATAACATAAAACTTTGATCACATCAACTTTTTTACAGAAGCTTGTGCATTACATCTTTTGAGCCACAGGATTTACACTAGATCATTGGTTCCCAAACTTATTTGAGATGCGCCCCCTTTCGACCATACAAAAAATTGTCTGGAATTCATTCTCTCAGCGGTCGCAGGTTTTTATGCTTCAGTACACAGATGGCCCGCGCCCCCCTTTAAAGATCTTCGTCCCACGCACTTTGGGAACCAATGCACTAGATAGATGATTATTGTTTTGTATTTAATTTCTTTTCTGCTATCTTTTCCAATTATATTTTAGTTAGTAGTGAAAACTTTAAGGCTATGTCCCCTTTATTAAGTGTACATGTATGTATGGTAGGTATGTACACAAAACATAAAACCATTAAATACATTGTGCATAATATTGAATGATTTTAATACACAAAGCATTAAGGATACTAATAAATAAATAAATAAGAGAAGTTATTAAATAATTAAAAATATTTATTTTCTTTTATGTAAACATGCAGTCTCTTTTGTAAACCTAATTTTATTAAATAAGAAAAAATAAATTAACAATTCTTTTACTAAAGAGATAAGCACCTGAACTCCTGCATTTCCTTCTGCTCCTCCAGGGATATCTGCTGCGCCGCCTTAGCCTTGCTCTGCTCCACCAGGTCCAGGAATCCAACCTCATCATCGTCCAGCCCTCTGATCATGTTCTCTGGAAAAATGACATAACATTAGTTAGTGGAATTTTTATTACATAATCACTATAGTATAAAACTAACACGCTTTCGGCTTTCTGTCCCTATGTATGTTAAGATCTTAAAACTACCCAACGGATTATGATGCCGGTTTTTTTTAATAGACAGTGATTCAAGAGGAAGGTTTATATGTATACTTAGCACCCATGCGAAGCTGAGGTGGGTCGCTAGTTGTGTACTAAATTAAAATAATAGTGTAGGTAATAAAATCCCACTAGTTCAAAATTACTAAAGAGTGAATACTTTTTGCACACTAGTGGGATTGTTTTATGCAAGATTGCAGAGAGCCTGTATTTAGCAATTCCACTAGTATGCATAGATTCTTATAATTGCATTCACAATAGGTGCTCTAGAGTAGAATAAAGAGAGTTTATACCTATTATGTAAGACACATTCTTTAGTTAAACTTTGACTTAATTTTACAATTAAATTCTTACTCAATTTGTGAGTCTCCTCATACTCGGCTTCCTTTTTGAGCCTCTGCTCCTCCAGGCGCTGGAATAGAGGCCTGGTATCATATTGCTCTTCTGGGGCCTCTGTGGAACAAGTAAATATAGATCTAACTTCAAAAAACCACTTTGAACGGTGCCAATTTAACAGTCTAACAAAAAATGTACACTTTTTAGTAACTACACATTTTTATGTTTAATAGAACACACCTGGACTACTATAAAGACATGTTAAAATCCAAAATAGATAATGCCCAGACAAATACATTATGGTAGGTTACATTGGGAAATGTATAAGTATGATATGAAAAATAATACAGGTGTAGAAGAAACTTAGCCTTGGTGAGTTGAAATCTATTAGAAGACGTATTTTGGGATACTTAATAAATTATTAAGTTGATAAAATACCACAGTCATTGTTTGACAGCTGATTATATGTATGTCCTTCAATAAACGACTAGAAAATGAATTGCTAGAAAACTGCTTTCCCATTTTAAGTTTAGTTACAGTTGCGTGAAATCTTGTTAATCTGGTATCATCAATCGTGTAATTTAGTGGAAACAGTATTAATTTATTTTGAAGGTATGAGTGCATAATGTTTGTATTTTGCATACCTTTTGGTTGGTCGTCAGTCCTCACTTTCTCCCATTCTTCTTGACGCCGGCGTCTGGCTTCTAGAATTTCAGTTTCTGATATAAATCCAGAACTCATTTTTATAGGTTTATTCTTCAAGAGAAATATCAACAAATGCGTGAACGAAAAATCACCACACCAATTCGTTGACAACTTTGACAGTTGTGGTGACAGTCAGCTTTTGACGTTTTATTTTTTTTTATTTTTTGTAGGTGGGTACTACCAACCGTAGACATAAAATAACACTAATAGTTGAACGGCTTTACAAAATTGAGCTATAGCTCAGAATATCTTCGTAAACATTCACCTTAAGTCAATTTTGACGTTTTATTAATTGACATTTTCAAAAAATTACCATCCATCGGTCGGGCCGGCGCTCATCCGTAATTTCGCATTTAATTTACATATAAATGAACTTTCTCCGTATTTTTTAACCATAATAGTAGCCCAATTAAATTTAAAACATGTCTGAAGTGGTAACAAAGGATATAGCGCCGGACGAAGAACAGAAAGATTACGTGGAAGACGGAAAGAACAAGTTGCTGGTCAAATGTAAATTTTGTGGATCGAAAATATTAGAAAAGAAAACAGCCAAATACGTCGCTTTAGAGGTAATAATCCTTCGTTTTACTACGACAGTAATTGCATTAGAACATTCTATATTCATTTTGCAAATTAATTAATTAATTATCTTAAACTCAATGGTAGTAGTTATTGGTAGTAATCATTTAATTAAATTGGTAATAATCTAGCAGTTTTTACACATTTACATCATTATTATCATCAAAACCTAGCTATTTACTGTATTTATCCTTTAATATGTGAAATGGGTTATGTTTAAACAGGAATTAATATGACAGTGTAAATAATATACTTGCACAGTAATTCTAATTATTTTTTCTACTTATTTCCAGAAAGAACTACCCTTAATGCAGCAAGATGCAAATAGGAAAGAGGGGGAAGTACAAAAAGAGATGATTAACGAATATTTCCATGTAGAAAACATATATATCTTTGAAAATATCGGTTTCACGCACCCCGTTGATAATTACAAGTACTTGATCTGTGCAGATTGTGACGCAGGCCCTGTCGGTTACTACGAGCTGGACAGCAAACATAGCTACGTAGCTTTATCAAGAATAGTTCAGTCATAATCAATATTTCAATATGTGCTTTTTAATTTCATTTTACTCAACCAAAATAGTTAAAAACTGCTTGTATTTTTATCTGTTTTACATGTGTATATTAATTTTATGTATTCAATTGTTTTTAACAAATGCTATGCACACGATCCACTACAGCGTCAGATTATTTTAAGACTTTTATCTGTTAGAAGCTCCATACATAAAAGATGACTGTTGTGTTTAAGTATGTATTCAACTTTACAGATATTTGTAGGCTAAAGCAGGCAAGTTCATAATTTTTGGTGTCATTGAATGATTTGTGATAAAAATTACTAAAATATTATGTCATAGAACGTACATTTTAAGTGTAAATGAAATTTAATGGACTCGTGAAATCAATAGAATGTTTGTACAGTTGAAAACACATAAAAATTACATTATTGTAGCAACGTCACACCTATTAAAACTATATTAGGTGCTACAGTGCATAGCCTGACGTGTCTAGTACAGTCAGCATAAAATAGTTTGTGATACTCTAAATTGGCAAAAAACTTGACAACACAATTTTATTCCAACTGTAACAAAGACGTGTCATGAACTATTTAATGCTGACTGTACAACTGTAAAATACAGTCACTCACATTATTTTCGCAGCTCTATGAAAAGTTGTAAAATCTGTTGTACAGTTTGATTATTTTGGTACAAAATAAGCAAATAATCATAGAATTCTATCAAAAATATCCATTGTTGATGTTATAAATTCTAGATAAAATTGTTTGAAACCTTTCATAGATTTTAAAGGCCAGTATTTTAAATATCTAGTATGAAAAAATATTGTGATTTCTTAAAACGCAAAAGTTTGTGTTTCTACAATACTGGCCTAAATTAAATCATCTAATAATTAGAAAAAGATATAGCAAACGTTTGAAAACTATAAAAACTACATGACAAAATCTGTATACAGAATATAATTATGTAACTTTAATATGTAGATCCTTATTATAAATACTTAAAAAAAAGGAAACTTAAACTTCTACTATAAAATAGCATTCCAAACTAATCCACACTTAATGCAAAACTTATAAGTAGATAGATTACCAATTTTAATATACTTTTGTTAACATTAGATAGAATTACAGCTTTCAAATAGTGCAGTTTTCTTTAAAAAAATTTAGATCAATATACCTAATATGCTTGTAGCTAGTGAAATATTAAAATTATATCAAATAGGTACTTAAGACCACATGGTTCTGAAGAATTATTTTAATTTTTTGGCCAAAATTTTGTGTACCAAAATAATGGTTGAAATACTAGCAGAAAATTAAGAATATTGCTAATAGCATAAGGTTTAAAGTCAAGTAATTTTGTGTAAAGACATTAACATCCGTATTCGCAAATAATGCTTGCTTGTGTGACGCAGCAAATCGAACGCACAGCGTTGAATAGGCTCTGTCACTCTGTGCGTTCACGCGCACTGTGAGACCTCATAGTAATGTTTGTGAATACGGGCGTAATTACATTTTCGGCACGTTTTAATTAAGGGAGGTCTACATAATAGTACTGCTGCGACATGAGCTTACATTTTGGTGTTACGCAAATCTATAATTTACATTTTGTAAGAGATTATACTGTAATATAGCTTTATACTTGAAACGCTTCTTTTATTTACGTTATTGTAACCCTACCCTAATCCTAGTAATTTAGTTTTGTTTATATCGTACGTCACTGAATTATTATCACCGTTTATAACTATTTCTTCCATTTCTGTACTGATTTCTGTTCGTCATAAATTAGTTAATGTTTTTTTCTCCTGACTGTACATCTATTTGAAGCTAAAGTATCAGATAACACACAATGTGGTCAAGTTTACCAAGAACTGGCCTTCATGTAGCCAGTGTGATATCATTAACGTTGTTTATTATCCAATGTAGGTAGGTAGGCACTACCAACTCATTATTTTATGGCACTATGAAGGGGCGTGCGCTGTATAAAATATAGGCAATCACTTAGGTATTGTGTACCTTTCAAACTAATTAGGGACACATCATCGCGCCAGCTAAAATTAGTTTTTTAAAGTGTGATAGGTATAATACTTAAATCAGTACAAGCAGTTTGAAAATTCATACATTTTTTTCTTAAGTATTCAGGATCAGGATCACAAGTTGGAATACCAATAAAATTAGAATACTTCTCTCGTTATTTTATTTAATTAATTAAAATGTATTAATTGATGTTGACACCCCACAGGCTGCAGACTTTTTGTCTTAAGTTTGGTCGGGCTGTTAATCAGTATGAACATGTTGGCAGTGCGCAAACTACACCGATTTGGTATCGGCCGATTCTTCATACAAATTGGAAGTCTACCCAACTATCGGATGGTTTGCGGGATGTCTTCATAGCCCTTTCGGACCCGCGCTTAAACTAGAAATTAATTTGTAATTTTGAAGAAGAATTTTAGGTAATTTGGGGCCGCAGATTACGAATCCGCTATAATTTTCCAGATTTTCCGCCGCCATCTTGGAAAATTCATATACCAACAATTGTATCAAACTGGGCCCTTCACTTCCCACGTACAATTGTGAGGGTCAAAATTGTAAGGGTTTTGGAAATTTTATCAATGGCATGAATTCCGAAAAACGTATTTATAACCAGTAAGGAATAAAGAGGTTTCATTTTTATACCAATATTTGCCATTTAATATTGATTTGTGGGCAAAACCATCTGTTCCATGAGCTCAAAAGTAAATATAGCACTCGAAATATTTCTATGAAGTTTTAATATCTCCTGGATCATGAACTGCATCTCCTGGAAGATGTTGACGATTGAAGGGCTTCGTCTGCTATGCCGCTTGCATACTCAGAGGTATGTATCGTCATGAATGTCTGAGCCTTCATCAGAAGAAGAGGAGTAGTTCATCTGAAGTAGCCGAAACTAGCTTTTGTCATTGTCATCGCTCTCATCCCCAGATGTATTGAGCATCTCTGCGATAGTAGCGTCGTTTAAAATCGGAAACATGGTGCGGAAACCATGAAAAATTAATAATTATGAGAAACTTAAAATACGCATAAGGTATTGTAGGGCCCACGTCGATACAATTGTGTCAGTAAAGTTCGTTAAGCCATTATGCCAAAGTCTTTGCTTACAATTAGTCACTGTTATCACAAAAAGATGCTATTTTTATCTATTTGTTTAATCAATAACTTGTAAATTACTACAATTATAAAATAAAACCATAGTAGGTACTTTCTTTCGCCAAGTCGGGGAGCGCAATCAGTCATGAACTGTACAGGTTGTAACCTGCTCACCAACTGCGCTTCGGACAAAATTTGCACGGGAGGTGAAAGAACGCATCCCGCACAATCGTACGATACTCAGCCCATCCACTTTTAATGTAAAACTAATGAGATAATCTCGATTTTGTAACCCGCACAATTGTATTGGAGCGGTCCGAAAGGGATAGTCATACTGAAAGCATTGACACAGTTTTCTTTGGTCATTTACATAAATATCCTGTATGCAGTAGCATTGTCGTAATTTCGTTAGTACAGATATCGTTTCCGTGGTGTAGCGGTTATCACATCTGCCTAACACGCAGAAGGCCCCCGGTTCGATCCCGGGCGGAAACATATCTTTTGTTTTTTTTTGCTTTAGTTTTTGTAAGTAGGAATGAATGTTTTTTTATTGACGCAGGTTTTTTTTGTTTATTATAATAAATTCACAATAAAACAGTCAGGCAGATCTGTAAGAATAAAGTACCCGGACCAACAAATCATTGAAATGTTTGACGAATATGGTAGACTTATTTCCAAATCAAAACACGATTACTGACCTACTTACTTTTCGTAGAAAAAATATTAATAAGCTATTAATTAAGTAGTAAACCAAAGAATATCATAATACTTTTGAATAGTTACTAACAATCGAACGAATGTTTCTATTCAGTGCAATTGCTTTTAATTTATTGTAAGGCGCTTTGTGCAATTTGGAAAAGTTTCTAAACGCAAATAGGTTTTTTTTTGTGAATCATAGATAGCAATCAAAGTCAAAGTCAAAGTCAAAATTTCTTTATTTGTTTGGACTAATAAATAGTTCTTACAAATCGTCATTTTGCTCTTAAGGAGCCTCTACATGTCTCATAATCTTTTTACCCTACCAGCGCTTCGAGACCAACATTTGGCAAGTGCTGAGAAGAAGCGCCGCAACAAACTCAGTCACCACTGTCTGCCGGTTAATATAAATAAATAGAAATAGTAGTAGTAGGTACATTCGATTCAGGAGCAGTTCACTGAATTTACCATGCATTCTTGTATGGTGTATCTTATAAGAATGGGTATACAAGATTGCGTGGTATATTAAACAAGGTAGTGACGTGCTAATTTCTAGACTTACATATTAAGATACTAGTAGAAATGACTCGCATACATAAATTTGAATAACTTGGATTGACCAGTCCCCGAAAGCAGCGCCTGTTCACAGACATGACGAGTGAACCAGCCATCGCTTCACTCGACCATATTAGAGGGAATGTAACGATCAATAGGAAGCTCGAAATTGCTGACTAGAAACTGCTTCGCTAAACATACGAAAAAAACAGAGTAGTGACATCAGAGTTAAAAGTTACTCTCGAAGGGAACGCACATGCTACGTTGTGGCTCATAAGTAGGTCTAAACCTAGACAGTTTTTTTAGGGTAGCTGCCAAAGCCACGATGACCCAAACTTCATAATTAACCAACATAATATCCTATATTGGGAGCATACGCTGACAAACTTTCAGCTTTTATAAAATGACGTAGGTCTGTCGTTCACTAGCTCTTAGTCTATACGGTTTTAAACTGTCTTGAAATGATTTGTTTTGTCTTGCATTAACATTGTTTACCTATAGGTACGTATCATGACATCAATGACTACTTTTTCCATTAGGACTTAACTTTACTCGTAAAATTAAAAAACCTAATTATCAAACTTACCTAATTAAGGGATAGATCAAAATTGGAATTATAAATGAAAACGGACAAACAACATAAATATTACTTTTATGTCTTATGGTAAGTATGTATAATATTTACCTTTTACCTTAAGTATTCATCTTTCCATTGCGATTGTATGAGGCCACAAAGCACGCGGTTTATTATTATAATTTAACTAGTATTTGCTAAAAGCAGAAGGGTGAATTCGCTACCGTCGTTACTTAATTTAATTTGATTAATTATAAATTAACTAATTACTGAATGCAATTCATTTAACGTCCTTCTTGTCATCCTTCTTATTTTAGTAGAGATGTTTTTTTCAATGAGTTGACTCAAAATCGCTTTAGCTCATAAGTAGGTCACATAAAAAAAAAGGTACAGAACAATTTCCACATCTCATTCCTACCGCTGCAACTCCTGTGTAGACAGGATCTACAGCTTGAACGCCAATAAAAACCCAACCAGTGAAGGTTAAAAGCTTTATTTTAAACGCTTTCTTCGTGGCTTTGGTGATAGCTTTCACTACTAGTTAGTACTCTACCTGATCCCACGTTCCCACGCCGGTCG